TCGCTATTATCGTTATCATTTCCGCCCGAAAATCCAGCGGAAATCCGTCACCTTCATTCTCGACTCTCAGCAGCGATGAAGAACGTCCAATAAAACACTCTCCATCCACAAGTAGAGCGTTGGGGTAATTACCAATTAGGGCAGCCGTCAGCCGTGTGTGTGTGTGTGCGTGTGTGTGCGTGTGTGTGTGTGTGTGTGTATGTGTGTGTGCGATGCAGGTTTCTAGCCGAGCAGCGAGCCGTATTGAACTATGTGTTAAATATCCAGAAAATTTTTAATCTAATGCTCGAGTCGTTCGCTGTCAGTTTTGTCAGATAATTATAAAGTCACCATGTGGCCGGTCTATTCTTCCCCTTTTTCCTCCTCTCTCTCTCTCTCTCTCTCTCTCTCACACTCTCTTTCTTTCTGTGTCTCTCTAGGAACCAACTTCCACGACATGTAACTATAAACGGATAAAAAGCATGGCATGTCATTTAATAAACAGAAAAAATTGTAAATGTTGTCAAGTTGCTGTGGTGTAAAAGGAATAAAACACTTGGGGACTTGCTGTTATAGGAAATTAATCAACTTCAGCGTGGTTTCATCACACACACACACACACACACACACACACACACACACACACATGCGGAGTGTTTATTCGATTAGGTTTATTAGACTGTGCAGTGTGAAAGTGTGAAGCCCTGAGATTAGTGTGTCTGTGTGAGGGAGGTGATGAGAGGCGGAGCCTGTTGCTAGGGGCGACTGACAGACAGGTAGAGCACTCGTTCTGTTCAGAGATCATCGCTGCAGGCGAGAGCTAGCTGACGTGATAACAAAGGGAGTGAACGCCTCTTCTTTTTACGTCTGTTATTTTTATCTGTTCTTCTCAGCCTCTGCATGGAACAGACACAAACATCTCTTCATTTTCATCTCTCCATTCCTTCTTTCTTTCTTTCCTTCTATCTTCATTTCTTTCTTTTTCTTTAAAATGTTATTCTGTATGTTGATGAATAATAAGGGATTATTTGTTCTTCAGGGTTGAGTTGTTCTTCAGGGTTGAGTTGATATTCAGGGTTGAGTTGATATTCAGGGTTGAGTTGATATTCAGAGTTGAGTTGTTCTTCAGAGTTGAGTTGTTCTTCAGGGTTGAGTTGATATTCAGGGTTGAGTTGTTCTTCAGAGTTGAGTTGTTCTTCAGGATTGAGTTGTTCTTCAGGGTTGAGTTGTTCTTCAAGGTTGAG